TCCAAGCTGTAGAAACTTGGAATTAAAGGGGATTGAGAAAATGCTTGATGACCGTATTCAGTCACTTAAGGAACAAGGTCGTCTTCCTTGACAATTGACAAAGGTCAGAAGCCATATTGTCCCTATAGCTTCTATCAGGGAAATACAAGCAATATAAATTGTGATAGTTATGGAGTTTACATATGGATTTGGATTCACAATGTAAAATATTTAGTAAATATGCCTGTGATGGTATGAACAGTTTTTTTGTTTAATAATGGTTGTATCAAAATCTCAAGAGAAGGTTACATTTCTCATATTCATTTTCCACTTTTATTATTGCAATTAGAACGATAATAGGGTCTAGGCTCATTCACTCCATCTAGATAATAGGGTCTAGTGACTTTGTCATCCGATCCAATTTTGATCCATTGATAATAAGGTCTAGGGTCATCCAACCCAACCAAGATAATAGGGCCTATGCTTATCCCATCCGATTTGGTTCAACAATTAGGGTCTAGAGTCATCCAATTCCAATCCAATTTGATTCATGAAAACCCCAAGCTTTTATTCCTGAATCCACATCCATGGATTCAAGAAGAATTCCAGCTCAAGTCGAGTTTAACTGGGTGATGAGTGAGACAAAAGATGGATTCAGTCAGATTTCAAATATGTACACATGTATTTTTCTACTTTCTAATAACATATAATTAAGAAACCTGAAAACGCACAATATCTAAGTTTCATGGATATAGATACGGGTATGGGACGCGGCAAATTTATAAACGATAGGGTACGCGGACATGGCTGAAATCCATAGTCTAGACTCTAAGGCTGCGTTTGGGAACATGGATTTGGACCCTGGATTTTAAATCCAAGGTATTTCAAATCCAAATCCTTAGTTTGGGCTACAAAACTGGGCTGGAATTTCAAATCAAATTATTTTAAAGGGAGAATTTGAAAGCCCAAAAGCTCGTATTTGAAATCCCACCCTGCCCCTTGTCATTTACCAAACCCCGATCCCGAACTCCTCTCTCGTTTCTCAGCTCCGACGATCCCGACTCCTCCTCTCCCTCGTTTCTCAGCTCCGACCGATCCCGCCTCCTCCTCTCGCGATCTCGAATCTCTCTCTCTCAACGCAGCAACAGGTATCTCTACGATCTCTCCCCTTCTCCTCTCTCGTTGAAACCGAATCTCTCTCTCTCAACGCAGCAACAGGTATCTCTACGATCTCTCCCCTTCTCCTCTCTCGTTGAAACTCTAGATCTGATCTAGGGTTTCGGTCTCCCCCTTACTCCTCTCTCCCTCTTCCATCGAAACCCTAGATCTGACTTGGATTTTCTCTTTTGTAGCTTGTTTCCTCTCTTTCGGTTGCTCTCCTAGATCTAGGGTTAGTTTTGGGTTTCGTCTGATTTTTTTTTTTTGGATTTGCAGGCTACTGTCAGCGACTTGCAGGAGGAGATTCATACCAGAAGTAATAGAGGAAGTGTTTTTCAATCATAGGTGAGACTTGACAGATCACAATATGCTAGGTTCATCTCAACTTTAGTGTTTATGTTGCTAGAAACAGCCATACCATTTGTGATTATATTCAAATTGGGACAAGTATATGGCATAGTGCAAGGTTACGCCTTAATATCAGTATATGACCCTTGTTCCAAGAATGTGTAATAAAAATATCTAATAGAAAGCAACGACGAATAGTAAATTGGGTACATGTAGAACTGAAAGTAACTGGAAAATGATATGTGACTGCTCTGCACTTGTAGAAGCATATTAATATTCCATGATATTTTTAAGTCTAACTAGTTTAAAAAAGATCAACCAGACGCACCCATTATATTGAATTTGACAGTCTCATCTCAAAGGATATAACAACATTTTAATGGTTTTAAATAAAGTTCCTATGGGTATTCTAATTCAGCTGTATTTGGGGAGGTACTGTGTGATTTGTAGGGCAAGCTCATACACAAGCAGACATTCTATTGATCTGAGCACACATCGGGAATTCATAGGGGGCATTTGATTACAGAATTTTCTGGACATTAGTGTTGGGTCTTATAATGAAGCTTGTAACGTAAACTGTATTCGTTCTTGAATGTTTGCGCCGTTGTCACATCCAACATCTTCCAATTATCTTTGAAAGATAGCGAAGAGTTGCCGTGCTCATTAGAAATAGAGAGCTGAAAAGAAAGTGAACAATTAACCCTGTTTCCCAGTGAATTCCAAGAGGAAATGTTCCGATTGGGCTTTCGATCGAAAAAAATGCTAGAAGGAATCAAGATAATTTATATTGATGCTCGGAGGTACTTTTGTATTGCCTGTTAGTAGAGGATATTGAGGCCTAGTCCATTTCTGTATTCATTTTTTTTTTCTCTATTCATTTAATGTATAACTTATCAGTAATTATGGCACTGCACGACCAAAAGTTTGCTTGTTGCCACACGGATGGAACGCATAGAAATAAGCCACATGCTCAGTAGTTTGTGCAGTATAGTCCAAGGTTAGTCAATTTTTCGTTCTTCTTTCGAGAAGCCCCTGGTAATCCAATATTGTAAAATATACGCTTTGAGTGGATTACACTGCGATCTTCTTTAATTGTCCGTAACAATCTTTAAGACGATATAAGTTAGCGGCCTAGCCATTGAAGATATGACTTAAGGATGTTTCATGAACCTTATAAGCATTCATTAGTTGCTACGGCATTGACGCATGTTTGAGCTCAAAAGCAACACTAAGTGATACTTAAACGGCACCAGATGCTACGCAATTGTATATTTTGTGGCAATGGGGGAGGAAAGCGATACCTAAGTTTGTTTTGGTAAATGATAACGTTTAAATGCTTCTCATTCATTATTTTTCTGGTGTCTAAAGTTAAAAAGCTTGTTCTGACTGCAGCATTGACATATAGTTGACAAAATTATAGGAAAAAACTGCCTCTTATGAATTGGGGATTCTGAAAAAAATGGGTAGCAGGATGAAGGGAAATAGGCCGTCTAGTGTTGTTCATAAAAGTAATCAGCAGAAACAGTTAAATCATGGGACTATGCCATGAAAATTTGTACTTCTTACTATATCCGTAGGTATCTTTAGCTTTGATAGGTACCACATGTACTGATTACTGCAACAAAATTACATGATATTGGATCATTATATTTGAATATTTGAATATTGAGAATCAACTACCTGGAATGTCCATCTACTATTTTTCAAGGCCAATATAGGAAATATTAAGAAATATCCTACACCTGCAACTCATAGCCTTTGTTTTTACAAATATATATATATGCACTGATGCACATACATGCTGCTATTGGATAAGATGAGGCATTTGGTATGACCAATTTTCCAGGTACAGCAGCAAACACATCAGGTTTCAGCAAGGTTGATGTAGGATCCACCACAAGAAATTTTTGTGCCATGGACTAATTGATGCTAAATTGTGTAATGTAGGACTCAAATTCTTCGAGACATGAAGTTGGGCGCATTGGAGAGAAAAGAGGAGAAGACTTGAAGGATAAATAGAGGATTCTAGATATGTTTTCTTTTAATAGTTTATGTTGTCGTAATTTGGCTTGTTGTAGCAAATCATGGTTACTTCTTATAGCAAATCATGGTTATCAACTACCTATGGTATGTTGTGTTTTAAATGAAGGATTATTGTGGAGTGTAGAGCTTCTTATGAGGAGTGTTTGCTAAACTCTTTTGACTCGTCGAGTCTTTTATCATGGCTAGTTATTGGAGTAGTACTCTTGTTCTTTGGAGATTGAAGGTTGAAGATTGAAGGTTGATGTAGTATTGGATGAAGCCATGCAAAAATAGCGTAATAATAAATATTTTGGACATTATTATTATTTTTTGTATTCTCTCATACCGATTCATGAAGGACAAGATGTTTGCATGTGTATTTATAATTGCTAATAAAGAGATCAAACTTCTGAGGGGGTCGTGAAATTTACCCTAACTTTTTCCTCAATATAAACCATAATGTCCGCATTTGATTTAATTATTAAGGAGTTAAGAGAGAGCATAAAATTTTTTAAAACACCAATTTCAAATCCAAATTCATGTATAATAAAGTGCATCCAAACATCAGATTTTAAATCTGTGATTTCAAATCCTTGCATTTAGTGATGACATCCAAACAAAAGATTTTATCAAATCATGGATTTCAAATTCTAGATTTGAAATCCCATGATTTTAAATCAACCTTTCAAATCCAAATCCAAGTTCCCAAACGCAGCCTAAAGTCATAGTACTAAACTAGATACACAAAAAGCAATTTATATCATAGTTCTAATCTGAGTGGATGTGAAAAGGATGTGGAGTGTAGGATATACGTCCAAGAAGTGCATACAAAGAGCTTTAAATTAAAACATCTATTGTATAATTAAGTACACGTCTAAATAAATGCACATGGATATTCAAGCAATGCCCAAGAAGTATTGAGTGCGGGTATGGGACGTGTCCGGTGCAGGCACAACTTCATGATAGAAGTACCCGTGTAACACAGCACAATACAAAGAATGAAACAGGGCAATAACAAAGAACTGGACATCCACAATGTTTAAAAGGTCAAAACTTTAAAACTGGCAGTTATATAGATTGCAGATTTAAAAAAATTAAAGAATATTGTAGGCAAGTTGAATTTACATAGAAAAATTACACATCTTAATTATAACGGATAAATCATGTTTGCTTAAAAGACTGAGGCTGTGGATATATGAGGGTATGGACTCTTCTAAAAAGGAGTTGTTACAAGATCACATTAATGTTATGGGGTTATCTCAAGCGTTATGCTAACACCAACCAAAAGTTGTGGACTATTAAGTTGTTTGTTTCATGTTAACAATGCTCCACTACAGCACTGAAACCTATAAAATATGTCACGCCTAATGATATATCTAGATCTTTCCCTCAAACAAAAGCCATTTTCAAAACATATCACAATACTAAAACATAAAGATGAAAATATTGTCAAGTATTCAGCGCAGAGTGAACAACAAACACCAGTGACTCACCAATCAGATGTAAGAGAGATCAAAAAGGCCTCTGTGACTTCTTCTTCTTCTTCCCATAGATAGCCTCCCAAAACATCGGTGAGTAAGGACCTTTTGGAGAATGCCCAGCCTCCAACATCTCCACACAAAACTCAACAGCATCCTCCAATCTCTTCCCTTTAACCAACCCTTGAATCATTTCCCCATAACTAAAGACATTCACAATCTTCCGAATAACCTGCAATGCATCATCAAACTTAGCTGCCTTGCTGAGAACCCTTCAACGACTGACGGTATAAATAACTAATAACTAGGGAATAGTTCCTCTCTCAGGCATTAAACCAAACATCTACACTGCTTCTTGAATCGACTCATCCTCGCATAGCCCATCAAGCAAATATAGCAACAGCATTTGGAATTACCCCATGCGTCTCCTCCATCTTCTTAAATACCACGACAGCATCTTCATCTAATCTGCTTGCATTTGGTTTCTTCTGCGATTGCTTCTACCGCATCCCATGGTCCTGTCAGGGATTTGTACTGAAGTGAAATGGACAAGGGGAAGCTTGAGAAGGGGAGCTCTCAATAAGTGGGGACTTGGGCAAAGGAGAAAGTTTCCTCAACAGGGTAGAGAAAAGAACTCGCATGGGGTTTTGAGCGGGGATGAGAAATCAAGCAACACGATGAGAATCTGAATCTTAACTAGTGTTGAATCACAAGGGTCATTTTTTGGTATGAAACAAAGAACTCGGAATCTCTACAGCCTCGCGTTAATGTGGATAAATAGTACTGTCTCATTTTTAGTAGAACCCATAAATAAGAAATATTTTATTAAATTCAAGTAAAGTAAACAATATATATTTCATTGGGTTCCACAATGAAATAGTCCCACAATGAAAACAGAAAAATGGTAACTACACTAGGAATGTTATATCATATTTGTACTACCACTAACAGATGTGATATGTAAGGTCCTTCATTGTAAATTGTCAAAAATAAAAATTTGTGAGTCAACATGATCCTCGCTCTTTCGTTGGTGATAGCACAAACTTAGTACAGCATATATGGTATAGCTATCACTGCTCTATTCATGAAGAACTTCGTCTTGTTACAATTGAGCATATTGGACTAAGCTGCAGCTTACGTTACTTCTCTTTCAACAACTTAGATCAAACCTCCGAACTCTTTATTCAATCCATGCCGACATACACACACACACGAACAAAAACAAAACAAAAAGAAAAGAAAAAAGGGGGAAAAAAAGAAGACTCGGATACTCGATGATCTCACCAATATCTCTTACCATTGCTGCCTCAACCAAGAACTTAATTGTTGGCTCTGAACAGTTGTTTGTGCTCTTGATCAGCCAAGGTGGATACCCAGTCATAAGCAGAACAATCTGTCAATCGCTCTTCACTGAGTTTGGACAGGGATTAGAAAGAGTTCAGGGTTTCGATTTAAGCTGCTGATTGAGAAGAATGAGAGCTGTAGCTTGGTTATATGCTCAATTGTAACAAGAGGATGTTCTTCCTGAGACATGGGAAATTGATGTGAATACAAAGTTTGTTTTGTGTTAATCACATAGAGGGTTATAGAATGTGTTAATCGCATAGAGGGTTAATCACATGGGAAATTGATGTGAATACAAAGTTTGTTTTGTGTTAATCACAGAGGGTTATAGAATTTGTTCTTCTAGAATATTTGCATCCAAATCATGAAGATACAGCTAACGAAACCAAAAAAATCAGCTGAGAAACTGGTATATAAAGTTACTAACAATTTAGATGTTGATCAGTACTTGCAGAAATGTTCATAGAAAACAGAATCCGCTTAATAAACAATTGACAAATGATAGAGTGAGATCACGGTTCCTCCCATCAGCTCTTGTGCATAACGAAACTAGATATGGAAGGTACTTCAACCAATCATCTGCTCATTTCAGTTCAAGCACACATGATTGTGTGTATTTGCTATTTATGTGTGCACAACCATGTGTATATTTGACTCAAACAATTCCGGTATCAGCTCAGAAAACTTCTGCAGACCTGTTGGTATAAGCTACAACTATAAATAAGCTACAATTACAAAGAATGAACATAACATAAACTCACTCTTTCTTGCCGAATATTTAAGGGAGACTATGAGAAATACAAGTACGAAGAGTCGAGAAAGAGATATAGAGATATCAAGAACTGTCAAGGGTGAAGGACCCTTGACTCAAGAAAGGTGAAACAAAGCATTAGGACTTACCTGAACTCTTAATCCTTTAATTTGAAGATTTGTGTAAACATGACCTTTAAAACACATGTTATAGAACCCAATATGGCACCATTTCGGCCAATTCTTTAATGCCAAAATATCGCTGGATATATCTGGAATATCCCAAAATGTTGCCTAACAGTCAGGAAAATCCGATATGTCACAGATAATTTTTCAAAAATAATAAAACATGCATGTAAAACCTTTCCCATTGTGGTAAACCATAGAAAACAATATTTTGGATCATCGCTCTGATCAAGACAGGTTGGCTACGAGCATGATAGACGGTCAGAGAGCTCCACAAAGAATAGAAGTTTTCATATTATCTAACCATAAGCTTGAATTCAAACATCAATTTTTGGTGCAAAATTGCTAGTCATCATAACTATGAGAGAGAGAGAGAGAGAGAGAGAGAGAGAGAATGAAAACTAACAATAATACTCATGGAATCTGAAAAAGTAACTGAAAATATGGAAGCCAGATTAGCAATATTTCAAAATGTTACAGCTGACAGATTGAATAAAGATGATGAAAATGGAGTTACAATAAAGTAAATTGAGTGGATAAGAAAATAAAAATGATATGTTAGCTGGATACATAGAACAAACTGAATGTAGCTTCAGTTATTAGGAAGCTAACAAGTAAGCAGAAAGAATTAAAATAGAACCTGGTAAGTCACTCTTGTCCAAGTCTCGCATATCCTTTCCCCAGTCCTAGACAGCAAACAGCGTCTTTCAATTTTTTTACTCGCCTTCTGCGTTTCTTGCCATGTCATTGACTAGTGGGCCCCGCCTCACTTGAAATTAAGATAAACCGCTCATTATAACTGTCATGGACCCGGTTCAGAGGTCTGGTTCAGCACCTTCCTCTGCCTTTAAACTAACCGTTTGATGCTGGCCTCTTGAGGATATGCACCCATTATTCAATCAATCAAGAACTGAGAAAAACAAACCAAACGCCCCAATTGAGAGCAAATAAAATCAGAAAACCCTTCTTTCACTCCAACCCCATGGCGAACTCACAGCCTTACCTCCCTTCTCCTTCCTCTTCTTCCTCCACAACAGACGAGATAGAGCTGCGGATATAAAACACACAACTCAATGAATCAAGAACTGAGAAATCAAACCACCATCCTCTTCCTTCCTTCTGCTACAGAGAAAATAACAAAAAAAAAAAACCACTCCTTCCCAAGATTTCCATGGACCACTCAGAGACTTCTGACCCTTCCTCTTCCTCCTCGGCCTCCATCGATGGAGAGCTGAGGACAGTATGCAACAAGGCTATGGCATTACTCTATTGTTGTGGATACGATAAGGCCGACTCTTTGATGAAGGATGCTAACCTTGCCTTACTCCGTATCAACTCTGTCATCCAGTTATTCAAATCTGAATCCTTGGAGGAAGATCTCATAGCCAAGGACTTCTGCATTCAAGAAGCACTCTCTTGCGCCCATCGAGCGACCCGACTTTCTCCCTCCAACCTTGAGTTCTCTTTCTTTTACGTCAAGCTCCTCATTTCTTATTGTCAAAGATACAAAGAGGGCATTGAGGAGTGTAAGCGTGCTCTAGCTGTTACCAACCCCATCTCAGACACTGCTGATTACTTGAGGGCGTCGAATTTTCAAGAAGTCAGCCATGTAACCATGGAGGAGAGCTTAATCTCTTACTATAGAGAACAGCTACGATCATTCTTGATTACTGCTAGATATTCCATACCTGATGAGAGTTTACTAGAGAAACGTCAAGATCAAGAGCTCTATGATGCCTCATGCCCAGTCTCCCGGGAGGTATTGGACACCTGTGAGAGAGCCCTGGCATTACTCCATTTGAATAACTTCGCCAAGGCTGATCGCTTGTTGCATCAAGCAAACAACCACCGTCACAATTCCTTTGCCTTCTTCCATCGTGTACGTGCATTAGCCCACTATTATGCCCAAACCCAGAAAAATGATCTTGAAGCTAAGAGACGCGGGTTCCAAGAAGCCATTGCATCTGCTCATAGAGCCACCCAACTCTCCCCCTCCAACCTTGAGTATTCTCTCTTCTATGTCAAGCTTCTCATTTGTTGCAGCGAGGGAATTCAAGAGGCTGTCAAGGAGTGTCAGCGAGCTCTTGTAGTTACTGACCCTATGGATTTCTTCTTTCAGCGCTTCTTGAAGCAGGAAACTGCTAAGATTCGGATGGCCTTCTACCAACAAAGCCTCAGGTCCATTTTGAATAAGCATACCGTTGCTCCGCCCTCTTCTTCTGTTTCCAAAAGCACAGATCGTCCTCCCAATGAGATGAAGAACCTAAGTGAGCAGGCTCTTCAAATCTCCCCTAAAGGTGAAGAATCTATCTCTTCTCATTCCTCTTCTTCTTCCTCCCTTGCTTTCACAAGTACAAATACTCTCCCTTCTACTAATAAGGTGAAGAATCTCACTGATCCCGATGTTCAAATCCCCCATCAAGATGAAGATCCCTGCCCTTATCATTCCCCCCTCTTCCTCACTTGCTCCCACGATCACAGAACCCCACCCTTCTCTCAACGAAATGAAGAATCTCTGCCGGGCTCTCCAATTCATCAGAAAAGGTGACCCTGTCAAGGCCAAAAATGTCCTCAAAGGCATTCGCCACAAGCACCAATCCTCGGCAGTTTTCCACCGAGTACACAGTGCAGTACTCTGCCATTATGCCACGAAGCTGATCAATGATCCTGAAAGCCAAACATACCAATACGACAACGCCCTCGACTCAGCACATCAAGCTACCATACTCTCCCCCAACAATCTTGAGTTCTCTTTCTACTACGTGACACGTCTTGTTTCTCACTGCAAATATGAAGAGGCCAAAAAAGAGTGTGAGCGTGCTCTTGCAATTACCAACCCTGTCGATTTTTTAATGGACTATATCAAAGAGAGCAACCAAGAAACCTCTACCTTGGAAAGGATTTCCCTCCACCAAGACTATCTTCAATTTCTATTGTATGTCTTAAAGAGCCCAAATCTTTCTGAAAAATGCAGGAAGACACTGCTGATTGACCCTGGCATAGTCCAAATTCGAACTTATTTACGGTCACTGCAGACTCCGACAGAATGGAGAGATCTTCTCCGGGTGCCTATTAAGGACTTTGAGTATAAGACTGACTTCAAATTCCCTTTTGAAGCTTTAACCTTTAGTCATGAGAAGCACATTTGGAAGTACTGGGTATGTCCTTGCTGCGATGAGCAAGACTTTAATGATGCACAATTAATGTGGCAGCATATGCTGGAGGAGCATCTGTACGAACCCCCTGAAGAGTTGCAGTCCTTCCTACCGAAACAACTCGATCAACATTGGACTGACAAGATTGTAAAAGGCATATGGGAGCCCATTGATATCCGTGACAGGACAACAAACAGTAACCTAGAATGCTCATTATCGACTAATACCGAGAGAAGCTTTTTTCTCAAGAGAATCAAATGCAATTTTTGGTTGCTTGCCACTAATAATTGCTTGTCAAAGAGCCATATTGACAAGGTTTTAAGATACGTCATGGGAGAAAATCAAGTTCTTCCATCTGTGCAAGACCTAGAGAATGTTGGAACTGGTGATCAGTTGATACTTTGTATTCGAATCTTGGATTCTTTGCAGCTCGAAAAAGTACATAATTTCTTGGAGAGTCTCGTGCAAGCTTGTAATTTATGCATACGTGCTGAGCGCCATAGACCTCTGGGAAATGCATTTCTAGATAGCCCTGGCATTGGGGTCACTCTTGATGACAGTTTTTTGCATATCGATTTGGATCTGAAGCCATTATCCAACAGTGAAAATTCTTTGTCAGCTGAAGACAAAACATGGAGTTCCCCCGATGTAAATCGCGTCATGTGTTGGTTATATGAAGATCAAAATCATACAGAGAAAATTAATGCTTTAGCTGCAGAGAGAGAGGTTGAGACTATTAATATTGTTGAAAAATTGCGGAATGAATATGAAGACTTGTGTATGATATGCAGTAAAAAAAGAAAACTCATTCAGTATCAGGATGCTCTAAACCTCTTCAAAAATAAATGTAAGAACGAACTAGCGGAAAGGGCAAATTCTGCAGAGTATCTGACACAATGGAAAAAAGAACTTGCTGAAAAAGCTGAAAGTGGAAACGATTCATTGATCTGTGTTATTTCTGACATCCTTACGGAAGCAGAGACTTTAAATGCATCCAGAAAGCAGGATGGTGCTATAAATCAGTCTAATGATAATGATAAAGACAACTCAACAAGCTCCTTAGATAACTCCTGCATAAAAGCAGCACACAAAAAATTAGAGTCATCATCAAATGTAGAGGTATGTGCATTTGCCGTCATACTTTTCAGACAATTCCAGAACTTTTTGTATAGACTTCACAGTCTCATCACCACTTTTTCACTTGCAGATTTGCATAGCCGACGCACAGATCATGAAAAATCTAGCCACCACTAGGCAGTTGCAGCTCAATCTCGAAAGAGATTGTACTGTTGATTATCGTGTGATACTTGTACCACACCTGAGAGCTTACATACAGGTCTTTATTTCTTCTATTTCACTTGCTGTTCTACCTCGTTTCAGGTTTTAACTAATTTTCTTTATGGTTTCCTTCAAAATTTCAGGAAGCCCTTAAGCGAAGAATTGCAGAACAAAAAGAGTCTGGAGCCAAAATTGAAGCCTCTTTCAAAGAACTCCTACATGATGATGAAAAACAGACCGTTAAAAGAGATTATAACCGGAAACAATTACAGGAAACCGCAAGGGGTAAAACGAAAAGTAGTAGTTTCAAAAAATCTAAACGCAAACAGTCTAGATAGTCTTGAATCTAGTTCACTTGTTTCACTGCAACAAAAAAGGATGAGGTTCTCTTGTCAATATTTCAATAATTCTTTCAAGAACAAGGAGATTAGTTCAGGTACAACTAAAAAGGTGGACTCTTGTTTTTCATTTCCAGACATGCTGTGGTCCTTTTTCTCCAAAATCTTTACATCCAGAACTCTAATTCTTGTTCTAGTCAATGACCATAATCATGTCTTTCCCTGATTCTGAATGTACATTTTATTTAAAACTCGCTTCTCTATTTAAAAAATTTCAAATAAAACACAGGGCTTTATCCCACATTTGCCCGTAAAAAGACAAGGATGGCTTCATAAGCAATAACCAGATTTCTTTAGACGCTCACGTCCATGATTTGTTTCCGATATCCCCAGCAATACAAATCAAAGAAAAAACTTAAGGTCATACGAGAGAGATAGAGAAAAGGATTGGACGGTTGACACCCTGATGCTGGTTCGACAAATTTGTTATGTGACGGACAACATTGGATCACCGGATTTTGCGAGTCGGCTCGTTTTCATGTTGGTTGATTGAGTAGCATAAGACTAACTGGGTATTGCTTCAGCATCAACAGCTTATTATTGATTGAACTCAAAGAAGAAGAAAAAACAGATTTTTGAGGGGCTTCGGTAATGGGTAAGTAGGTTTGCTTTGATTTTCGTTGTATTTTCTCAAGGAGAATGGTCCTCCTTATATAGGGGCTTAACCCATCATCCCTACCCCTCAGATCCGCCCCCATGAGAGATTTTCTCTCAACCACCCACGATTCACGTTCTCCACCATTCTCTCAACAGAGAAACCGTGGTTGATTTGGTCATCAATGACCAAGTCATGCTAACATCTCCCACTTGACCAAATTAACCAAGTGGCATGCCTCCCACTATCCGTGAGATCGGATGTTTCTGCTTACCATTACTCCCACTATCCGTAGAGAGTAACTCTTATTTTATTATTCATGAAATTTTACTTTGACTTATTTATTCCTAAGTCCCATCAAACTTACATGTTTGATAAAAGATTCCACTAGTATTTCTTTTGTCAAAGGATCAGCAATCATATATGTAGTAAGGATATAAGTCACTTTGACTTCTTTCTTTTCTACAATATCTCGAATATAGTGATACTGGATCTCAATATGTTTTCCTTTGGAGCTATTCGAACCACTATTGATTAAGCTAATTGCTGCTTGATTATCACAATAAATATCAATAGGTCCTTCCAATAAATTAAGATCAAGATCAATCAAAAACTGTCTTATCCAGACAGCATGTGTAGTTGCCATACTGCAAGCTATATATTTAGCATCTTGCGTATATCTAGCAACACACCATTGTTTCTTGCTACTCCAAGAAACAGTTCCTCCTCCAAAGATGAATAAGTGTCCCGAAGTGGACTTTCCATCATCTTTATCGCCTCCGAAATCAGCATCAGAATAACCAATGAGTTCAAGCGAATCAGCTTGATAAACTAATCTATGAGTAAATATACCGCTGATATACTTCATAATCCTTTTAACAACTTCCCAATGTGTTGGTCCCAGATTACTTTGATATCGACAGACTAAACTCACAGCATAAGCTATATCAGGTCTGGTGCACAACATTGCATACATCAAGCTTCCAATTGCTTGAGCATAAGGAACATCTAATGGCTTCTGCCCCTCTCCAGGGCTTTACTCTTTACATAATCTCTTTCTCATAACTAACAGAGTTGGTGCAGGATTGGAATTCTCCATTCCAAACCTTTTAAGAACTAATCTTAAATATTTTTCTTGATTTAAACTTAGCATGCTAGACTTTTAAACTTAGCATGCTAGACTTTCTATCTCGAATTATTTGAATTCCAAGAATATATAATGCATCTCCCATGTCTTTCATCTCAAACTTTTCGCTGAGATCTGCCTTAATTTTATTCAACATTTCTATATCATTTCCAGCGAGCAATATATCATCCACATATAAGGATAATATAGTAAACTTGCTCCCACTTGTCAAGACATATACACAATTATCTAATTTATTTTGAATAAAACCAAGTTTAGTAACTGCATCGTGAAATTTGAGATACCATTGTCTAGAAGACTGTTTTAAACCATATAGAGATTTTATTAATTTGTAAACTTTATGTTCCTGTTCTTTCACCTGAAAACCTTCATGTTGTTACATATATATTGCTTCCTTCAACTCTCCGTTAAAAAATATAGTTTTAACATCCATTTGGAATAACTCCAAATCAAGATATGCAACAATAACCAAAATAATTCTAATGGATCAAATCAAGATATGCAACAATAACCAAAATAATTCTAATGGATGCAAATTTAGCTACAGGAGAATACGTCTCCTGAAAATCTATTCCTGCCTTATGCAAATTTAGCTACAGGAGAATACGTCTCCTGAAAATCTATTCCTGCCTTCTGGTTATAACCCTTGACAACTAACCGTGCTTTGAATTTGTCAATTGATCCATCAACACGATATTTCTTTTTGAGCACTCATTTGCATCCTATGGCTTTTTTATTTTCTGGTAGATCACATAGCTCCCATACCTTATTCTTTTCTATGGAATCAAGTTCTTCTCTCATAGATTCTAGCCATAAAGCTGATTCATGCGATTTCATCACATCAGAAAAGGTTAAGGGATCTTGTTCTTCTATATTTGTATCTACCGAGAAACATGATGACTCACATGAATATAAATAGTAATCATCCATCCATAAAGGTTGTGTTCTTGACCTTTTGTTGCCTACAATCGGATGATTAGGTAAATTATTTTTCATAGGTATTTCATCATTTTCAATGTTAGGTTCATTCATAATATCAGGGTCATTAGTGGGAAAAACACTATAATAATCATCATCTATTACAGTTAGAGGTTCTGTTTCCTCTTGAACTTGTTCCTCTTCCTCTAGATTCTCTAGAAATGTAATATCTTTGTTTTCAATGACTCCTTTTTCTTTATTATAGAACTTATAACATTTTGACTTTTTTGAATACCCTATGAATCTATACTTTATTGTTTTAAAATCTAACTTATCTCTAAGTTGACATGGAATGAGAACATGGGCTATAGATCCCCACTTCCTGAGATGACTCAAATTAGGTTTCCTCTCATTTCATAATTCATAAGGTGTAGATACAACTGATTTGGTAGGAATTCTATTTAAAATATAGTTTGCAGTTAACAATGCTTCTTCCCAAAAGTTTTTAGAGAGACCAGAATGAGACAACATGCATCTAACTACATTAAGTAATGTTCTGTTTTTTCTTTCAGCAACACCATTCTATTGTGGCGTATACGATATTGTTGTATGCCTTTTAATTCCATGCTGAATATAATAACTCTCAAATTCTTTAGAGTTATATTCCCCACCTCTATCAGTTCTCAAAATTTTGATTTTCAATCCAAGTTGGTTTTTAACTTTTGTCTTATATCTCTTAAAGCAGTCAAAGACTTCTAATTCTCTGGATATAAGATAGACGTGTGCAAACTTAGAATAATCATCTATAAAAGTAATAAAATATTCTTTATTATTATGAATTTTGATACTTAGGGGACCACAAATATCCGAGTGTATCAACCCTAAAAGTTCATTGGCTCTGTGTCCGCCAACAAAAGGTTTTTTAGTTATTTTACCAGTTAAACAATGTTCACATGGTGGCAATTGAACATTAGATAGTGCAGAAAGTAAGTTTATTCTGATAATTTTTTTCATTTTTGAAATACTAGCATGTCCTAATCTAGAATGTCACAATTCAGACTCAGAAATATAACAGGACAAGTAGTTCAAATTCAAAATTTTATTATCAGAATTATTACAAACTACTGAAAGAATGCATAATTCATGCTCGGGCACATATTTTCTCATAGCATACACTTTATTATTCTTACCTATAGAAACCCTGTAATTATAGAACCTCACTTCTAGTTCTTTCTTCATCAAGCTGGGAACCGAGATCAGATTGCGCCGAATTCCAGGGGCATAGAACACATCTTTGAGGATAAGAATGCCGTCCCCAAGATCCAATCTATACGAACCAATACATTCTACATCGAGATAGGTATTATTTCCCATATAGATTCTCTATTCTCCTTTCTTCAGCTCGGTGAATTCTACGACTCCATTCTTGTCCTTTGCGATATGTCTAGTCGCACCGGAGTCGATCCACCAACCACTGATATCCGTCATCACAGCATTATATTTCGTCACACTGACGAATTCTCTTTTGCTAGTATCCCTTGTTCTGGATGCTTATAGCCTCCCTTATTCTCCTGCTTTTCACCTTGTGGGCAATTAGGCTTGAAATGCCCGAACTTTCCACAATTATAGCAGGCTCCGCGGGGTACTTTTTTTCTCTTGAACTGCTGCGATTTCGATCCTCGCGATTGTGGTTTACTAGAACCAGGGTTTTTATAGCTTCCAGTATTATGCCTCTAGCGGACATAATTCAGCTATTGCTGCACCATATTCAGTTCCAGTTCCTTCCTACTGGCTATTAAGTCATGTTCTATCGTTAGGTGCATAGAAAGATCAGTGACTGACTTAATGACAGGATTCATTCTTAATGTGGTGGCAGCCACAGCAAGTGAAGGGGGAAGACTATTTAGAATGGTTGCCACTTGCATTCTTTTCGGGATTTCGATCCCAGCAGTGGATAAGTCCTTAGCCATGACAATCATTTATTTATATGCTCTACGATATTGTCTCCCTCTTACATACGACAAGAATTATACTTATGCAAGAGGAGTTGAATGTTAACTTCAGAAACAGTGTCGTATTTTTCTCATACGACAAGAATTATACTTATGCAAGAGGAGTTGAATGTTAACTTCAGAAACAGTGTCGTATTTTTCTTTTATTGCATTCCACATGTCCATGCAAGAGGAGTTGAATGTTAACTTCAGAAACAGTGTCGTATTTTTCTTTTATTGCATTCCACATGTCCATGGAAGTTTTATAAGTTTCAAAAACTTTAATTAAATTATCTTCCATGAACATGAGCATAAGACTTTTCGTCTTTTTGTCTTTCGACTTCCACTGCTCAAACCCTTTCTTTTCTTCAGGTGTTGATTTATCAGTAAGGGTT